CATCAATAAAGAGGGTTTTTTTTTGGCAAAAAACACACAAAGTACCTCTGTAAAGCCCTCATTTATGGACATACATGTCTGTGTTTCAGCCTTTTATTTACAGAAATTAATGTTTTATTATGCAGAACTGCCAGCTAAGCACCTTCTGGTGGGGGAACAGATTATTTTTGGGATGCAGTAATTTAGCATGGCCTGTCGTGGAATATGAACAAACAAGCCTTTTTTCGATTCTGTTTTAAAGTAATTTTCTTTTTTATCATCCGAAACAGAAAATGAAACACAAATCATTTAAAAAATTTTACTCACCCCTTTTTGACACTAAGAATGAGAAACGCTTTGTATTTTCATTTTATTTTCTGTATTTTTAAAGCAAAAATCAAATAGCCACTTATTTCTTGTTTTTTTTAATACCCGTTTCTAAAAGGAAAATCCAATATGACCAAAAGATACACTGGCCTCGCATCCACTGCAGTTTAGAACTCTAAGCACCAAGTTGGTTGTAATTTACAATTTGTGCAACTAGATGTCACCACATTWAACTTTTGAGTTTGACGTAAACCAACTTTTTGTGCAATAATTTCTCATTTTGAATTTTTAAAACAGTTAAACTGAATATACTGCATTTATTACAACCTAYTGAGAGTATTTGTGAGATTTTTGTGTTTTGTTTTGTTTTTTTCCGCTCAAAGGGGTTCAGTGCTCTTGATGCTTTGGCCTAGAAACTTGCGAAATATTCCTTGCATGTCATCCATTACAGTTCAAATTACTAATAAAAAATGTTTCACAARTGCATACTAGATTAGGGTAAGGAGTTAATGGCTTGATGTTATATTGATATATTCAATATTTTGTGCAGAACTCAAGTACTAATACACTATGTTACTAGAAGTAGRGGAGCTATGTCTGACTTAGAACAAAACCTGAACTGTTGTTCAACCCTTTTTTCATCCTGGCACAAATAAATAAATAAGCACAAAATAARTGTTAAATCATTGAGGGATTTGGGYTATTTCAAGGATTATRAGAGCTAAAATTGATGTTATGTGCTGGACTGGTTGGTAGACTTAAAGAGCTTTTAAGCAGCACACAGCAAGTCCACTGTGCCTTAAAAAGATGTTTTGTTGTTCATGACTGAGCACCTGCACGCGAACATAACCACTGAATTAGTGCAGAATAGTTACATGTTTTAAAATATCTAAAAAAGAATTCTTATTATTTTCACACAGATACCCAAGTATCCATTTTCGGCCTTCCCTACATATCAGGGGGAAAGAGAAAGCCTGACTGAGGAGGATTATCCGAGTATCACTTAGAACACTTGTATTCCATTACTGAAGGAAAAAAATAGAGAACCCATACATCACCATGTTGTCGAAACTGAGGAGGCTCAGGACTCAAATTATATTCAACAGGGCTCTGACAAGTGACACCGAAAATCTTTTTTGACACATGTTGATGGCATAAATAGACRGATTTACTGAGGTTAGTGGCTGGTCCAAAGTCAGTTTTGGAGTACAACTGTCTGTATTTATCATTCAAGCACCGTGTTACATTATTATCTGAGAGGTTTGGACTCGGTGATCTCTGTGAGCAGCTCTGCTGGATGTGTAGTCAAAGAAGTTTCTCTTTATGTGCATAAAATAGAAGTACAAGGAGTTTCAGACATATTTAAGCTTTGCGCCATCCAATTCACTCATTTGCACTTGCAAATACAAGTTGAAACTTTAGCGTCTGACAGGACTGAAGAAGAAAAAGAGTGTGGGTTACGAAGAGGAAGAGAAAAATATCCATTTTGTATTATGCATTTGGTTCGCTAAATAAAAAAAGTTGAGATAATGTCAGAGATGGTAGCCAGGAAGGAGGAAGCAACAGTAAAGTTTTTTGGACCTTCAGATAGAGAACAGGCTGAAACAGCAGAGATGGAGGAGGAAGAATTTAATGATGATGATAATGATAGCAGCACCAGCAAGCCCTGCAACGACTTGGAGACTTTGCCTCACATAGAAGGGTAGAAAGTCAGTTATACTTCTGGCCAGACTCATAGCTAATGTGGAGTACTCGTATGGAACTTTTGAGTAGTACAATGACTGTGTGTCACTCAAGTGTTTTACTGTCAACA